CCCTAGCCTTGCTTCTCTCCTTCCTTGTTCTTCCTCCTAACTCTTTTCTCCAAACTGTTTTATCGTGTTCTTCCACTCCATTCTCAAAAACCCCCCTTTTATTTACCTACTCTAATAATAATAATAATAATAATAATAATAATAATAATAATAATAATAATAATAATAATACTATTACTTATTCAATTATCACCACTATTAATTATATTATATTAATATTAAACTCTATAGTTATTAAATAATCCCTATAACTTAAGGGTACCCACCAACGCACTCAGACACACCCCCACATAATTAAGGACACACAGAAATAAAATAACACCAAAAAGACTATATAATTAAAATGAGTGTTACATTTCCTATATGACCTTCGAATACTTTAGGTTGTAAACCTTTTGTCAAAGGGTCATCAATCATAAAATTTCTCATAATATAATAAATTGACACTCTTTGTTTCTGAACCTCTTCTTTAACAACAAAGTACTTAAATTACATATGATTAACACCATTATAATACATGTCGTTTCTTAGAGAAGAATATTGATGCAGAATTATCATAATAACTTTTCAGCGGCTTGGAAATACTGCCGACAAGTCCAAGTCCAAAAATAAAGTTATGTAGCCAATTATCCTGAATGTGGCCTCAAAGCATGTTACAAATTTAGCCTCTATATTGGATTCAATAATGACAATCTGCTTCACACTCTCCATGATATCGATCCTCTAGCCAAAAGATACACATGATAAAATGTTGGCTTTCTTGTATTTATACAACCGATAAAATTTGAATCTGAATATCCAATCACTTATAATAATCAAATCTCACATAAGTAACCATGTGATCATTAGTCCCTTGAAAATATCTCAATACTTTCTTTCTGTTTCCATTCTAATTCATTATTTAGATATGGTATAAGACTAAATTTGCCTTCATTATATATTGGAACGAGATATACTGAACAATATCCATTATAAATATCTCTAAAACTTTATTGATATATGACTTCTAAGACAAGCCTAATAATCAGTGATATCTATCACACATATTTCTATTTCAATCCCATAACTTTCCTCACCAATATCTTTCGTTCCAAAGTTGTTGGAGAGAAATTTATTAATCTCATATAATAAACCAAGATTATTAGTTTCAATAAAAATATCATAAACATATAAAACTAGAAAAATAACCTTATTCCCACTAAAGTTTCGAAATATACATCGATCAACAATATTTTCCTTAAATTTAAAGATCATAATAGTATCATCTAACTTGAGATACCATTTGCGATAAGCTTTCTTAACACAATGTTGACTTCTTATATTTACACACCGTGAGTTTATCTTCTTATACATTTCCATTAAAAAAAGTAGTATTTACATATATTTGATGTAACTCAATATCATAATGAGTCACAAGTGTCATATTAATTTTAAGTGAACCTTTCTTATAAATCAGTAAAAAGGTTTCCTCATAGTTAATTGCCATATTTCTAAATAAAATATTTGGCAACAACTCAGACGTTGTAACATGAGAGTCACATTTAGTCTTAAAGATCCACTTACACCCAATTTTTTTCCATCTTTCTAGTAATTCAACAAGATCTAATACACAATTTTGTTTTATCAACTTGAGATATTCTTTCATAATATCCAATTGTTTATTAGAATTATTACGACTAATGGTTTATGAAAATGAAATTAGACCATTATCAATTCCTAAATCAATTTCTTACTCAGTTATATACACCATATAATCATCTAGAATAATATGTCTTCATTCTCTTTAAGATCTCCTTAATGTTATTCCCCTTGGTTGTTCTACCATAGGTATGTTGTCTCTTTTAGGATCATTATCTAGTTCTTCTACTTAATTATTATGTTTTCGAGAACAAAAAACAATAATTGTTGAAGTAGAAGCACTAGTTAAATGAATTTGTACTATAATTTCTTTAATATCTACAATTTCAGATCTTTGCTCCCACTATTTTTGTCATTTTCAATGAACAAAGTATTCTCAGTTTCAACAATTCTTGTATCATGGGTGAGACAGTAAAATCTATATTATTTGTACTTTTATAAATAAACAATGAAATATTCACTGATTGTCCATGCATCCAATTTCATTTCATGTTGTATATTCTTATTTCTATTTGACAACCCTAAATACGCTGGTGTCTTAAACTAGGTTCCTTTATGTCCACAATTCAAAAAAGTCTTTTGAATTCCCTTACTAGAAACCCTATTTTTTTTAAATGTATGGTGATTTTTTAAAGACATACATACACAACAATATGGATAAAGATGAAATACTTAACATGCTCCTAACCATTTCTATTAAGGTACAATTTTTCCTTTAAGATACACCATTTTGTTGCGGTGTAACTTGCATTGTGTATTGAGCATAAATATCACGCCTTTCAAGAACCTTAGTAAATGGACCAAGGTGTTCTCAAAATTTATATCTTCAATAATACTTACCACTTATATCCAATCTTATGATTTTTTTTCAACTTTCTGTCTAATTACATCTTAACTTCACTAATGAGAATCTCTAAGACATTAACTAGTTGAGATTTTTCATGTAGCAAATAGACATAACTGTAACGCAAAAAAATCATCAATAAAGGTAATGGTATAATTTTTTTATTAATATAAAAATTTCCACATATGTCAGTATGCATAACTTTCAAAAAGTTGAGTAATTCATGTGACTCATTTCTATGTGTGTTGTTTTAGTACATTTCGATTTCCACACATACTTTTAGATCGATAAAATCTAAATCCGGAAGAATTTAATTATTTACCAATCTTTTCATTCTTTCTTGAAAAATGTGCCCTAAATCTTTATGCCATAAGTAAGTAAAACGTTTATTCACTAAACTAAGTTTACTTTCAATATTATGATGCATTGTCATAAGTGTTTCAACATATAAATTATCAAGATTCAATTTATATAAACCATAAAAGTATATCAATCCAATCATTAAGGTATTTTTTTATACAAATTGAACAATCATTGCCAAACTTAAAAGAAAATCTAGCAACATCAAATTTAGAAACAAAAACTAAATTTCTAGGTATACTAGGTTCATACAAAGTCTCAAATAAGTTCTGACATCTTCTACTCAAATTTTCATTATATTTCTCATATAGACAAACTTTCATTTTGATTTATGGTTTAAATCATAATGAATTATTGCATCATATTAGAAATATGAGTTATGCAACCATAATCAATCCACCAAGAATTGTGTGAAACTTAAATTTAATTCAAAACATACATAAGCATTAAACATATCTTTTTCTTTGAACCACAAATATAAGAATTTTTTATTTTTAATGGTCATTTCCCTTTTCCATGTTTCTTGTAAAACTTTTTGAAGATTCTTGATGATCCACTAGATGCATATAATGATTTCCTTGATTCTTAATTCATGTTTCCTCTTGAACCAACTTACTTTGTAATTCATGCATATTTCACATGTGTTTTATGATATTATAGTTCATTTGAAAACTTCCGTATCAAGACGATAATGAATTCAAAATGAATTGCACAAAAAAAAAATTCATTCACTTTCATTCCTAGCGACTTTAAGTCTTCCTGCAATATTATTCATTTCATTGATATGATCAAGCATAATATAAGAACCATCAAATTTTAAGGTAGTTAAAGTACTCATTAATGTCCTTGTGAGAGACTTAGCTTGTTAGTAATATGAGTGTCTTCTCCCATAAAATTCATAAGGAAGGATAATGAGACAAATTTTAATTAACCCTTGCAAACATTCATACTTTGAGTTACAAAACATACATTCAAATTTAATAAACAGTAATTCTATGTATAATAATATTATTCTTTGAAAATTTTGTTGGTTATTTTGTAACTTAAATATTATTTAATTATTATATTTCAATAATTATTATGTGGGTATACATACTTTAATTGTATTAATTATTTATCAAATTAAGAGCTTTAATTGATTAAATGGTTAAATAAATTTAAAAGACTATTTAAATTTTCTATTTAATAATTAATTAATTAATTAATTTGATATGGGCTCAAATACTATTGTATGGGATTGATTCAGATTTCAATGTTTTATATTCCTGGATTACCCTTCATTCTTTCTGTTATCTATTGTATGGATTGATTCAGATTTTAATGTTTTGCATTCCAGGCTCAAATACTTCTTCAATTTAGAATGCTCCATCTATGTAGCACCGACACCCGAAAAAAATGTGTGAATGTGAGCATCTGTGTCTAAAACCAGACACTTGAGATTAAATTTAATTTAGTGAATTTTTAAAAATTTTATCATTATCAATATGTCACGGTCAGTGTCGTGTTTTAGCTTCCAATGCCAATCATTTTTGCAGATCATTGTCTGAAATAGAAAATTATTTCAAATTTCCAATAACTTTTTTTATCCCCATTCTAGCTGCATTTTGTTTGTAAAATCAAAATTGTCACTCATTTCGAGGCCTTATGTATTCTTAATGTGAGATTTGCGGAGAATCGTTGAGACATGAAAATCATGATGTCACGACCCAGATTGCGATCGCAGACCTTTTTTGAAATAATCGTGCATACTATTGTAAACTGTGATTATTTACTAATAAAGAGAGATAGATGTTGCGTTTGATTGTTTGTCTGTATATATATTTTGTTGAGAAGGTTTACAATTTTTCGAGTTTAAATATTAAGTGTATATTTCTCTCTTACTGTAGTAGTATAGTTTTTATATAAATGTTGTATTTTCTGCTATTATTTTCATTCTGTGATTTCTCTCATGTTTATATGTTAAGATATGATGCATGAATTAGTAAATTCTCATATTTCACTGAATCTTTATGGCTTGAAGTGAACTTGAGTCTTGAATATCTGGTATTTCAGTAACCAGAGCCAAATTTGTAATGAACTACTGTCTCTTTTTTTCACTGTGTAGGTAGAAGCAAGAGGGTTTGGTTCCGGCTTCTGTCAAATTGACGAGTTGAAGACGATGGTGCGGTCTACTTTGAAGGATGCACAAGATCTTATCCATGCTCTTTGGTCTGCCTATTCTGCAACCCCGACAAATCTCAAGGTTGTTCCTCTCTTTCCCTCTCCATTTCTACAAAAATATTTACTTTTTCTAACCATACTTTGGCTCATTGTAGATTATTGATCATTATGTTGTGTTTGCTGTCTTCACTGCCCTCATCCAGGTACTTCCCAGCTTCGTTTCAATTTTGACGAAATCTGTTTTTTTAACTTTTATTTAGTGATGTTGTTTCCATCGTCACGCACTTGTTAAAACTTCGATTTTTCCATTTTCTTAATGAACAGGTAGTTTACATGGCTTTGGTGGGAACGTTTCCATTTAACTCCTTCCTTTCAGGAGTTCTTTCTTGCATAGGTACTGCAGTTCTGGCTGGTAAGTGGTGAAGTTGAATAAAAAATTTCAGTGCAGCAAGATATGAACCTAGTCGAAAATACTTCTTGTTTTGTTCTTGTATTTCTTACCGGAACATTTATTTGGATCAGTTTGTCTGCGGATCCAAGTGAATAAAGAGAACAAGGAATTCAAGGTAATTTGTTTCTCTGGTGTATTTAGACGTTTGAGTAACAAAACCATGCAACATTTCTAGGTTTTCTTCACCTGATATATTCTTACAGATAATTGATGTTCCATCCGAATGCAGGACTTTGCACCCGAGCGCGCTTTTGCGGATTTTGTTTTCTCCAATGTGGTGCTCCATTTGGTGATCATGAACTTCCTTGGTTAGACTGTGTTTGTGTAGTTTGCTTGTTTCCAATGGATTCAGTCACTGGCATTAGAGTATTTACCTTAGTACTAATTGCCATATTGTAGAAATAAAATTGTGAATGCTAGTTACTCATTTTCTTTCCAAATGTAAAATTACAAGACATGAAAAGCTCAACCCAATTCAATTGCCACATTGAACATGACACACCTAAAACTCTCTTTTGCCAATGAAACACTAACCATTTATTACAAAATAGATGAAATAAAGATGATCAATCATAGACATTCCAAGATTTAGGCTGTTCATAACTTAAAGTCTCACCTACCATTAAATATACAAGACAATCAACAAGAAAAATACATAGACACTACTACACCTTCTATGTACACAAGTTATTTCAACTGAGAATGCATACTATAGTCAGAAGAAACTTGCGGTACAAGCAAGTTATCATCACTGTGAGCTACGAAGTTTCTTCTAACGAGGTTGGTGAATTCGTTGAGGTGCGCACTTGAGGTTAACATATTGTGGTGGCTTCTCAAAGTGCTTTGCTGATCCAACAGGTGACTTGGGACCCCTTTCATTTGGGGACAAGATCTTGAGAAGAGCCGAAGCATCCTTGTTAACACCTGATTCAGAAAGAAATCAAATATGAGACTTAACATTTATTATACTACGAAAATTTATAGTATCAAATTTCTAATCAATCAGCTTCAACGCTTACCATGAAGAGGCTTTCTTTCCTCAACGGGATCATCCGTAATCGGACACTCTTGAGCTTGAGCTTCGTCGGACATCACCAATTTCTCAAACTCGTTCTCTAGAAAATTGAAGTCTTCTTCTATGCCAAGATCAAAAGTTTCTGACAGCAGATTTTCTATATCATCATTTGTAGTATCAATACTATCACTTACTTCAAAATCTTCCGCCTCGTTCTGGCTCAACCAATAGTCATGAAACCATGCTGAAGATTTCACAAGCTCCCACCATTGAGGTGAAAAATCCTCCACTTGACGGAGTGCAGCAGGTATGAAGAGAGGAGCATTTGGATTCAGAGCTGAACTTCTTTTAGATACCAATGCCATTAGAATCTGTCACACAAATACAATAACTTCAGCACAATCCGACATAGTATGCATAAAGTATATCAGTTTGCATTTACATGAGAACACAACAGTGTTGTCAATCGCGAATCGCAGAATCATGTCAAATACTGAAGTAAATTCACATGTAGGTTATGTAGGTTAGGGAATCAGGTATGTCCTAGCAAGAAGAACTAGTTGCTGTAAGCCTATTAACAAATAGACAAAACAAAAAATTACACACACACACACACACACCAATATATGGTACACCACTAACTGATTTCAAATATAAGCATGATAATTACTTAGAAACTATGAAGCTCATACTACAAGTACGCGTGTCGCAGTCAGTCACTAAAATGGTGATTTCAAATATAACCATGTTAATTATTTAAAACCTATGAAGCACGCACACCTCCTACCAACACGACATGAGTTGGTTGCGACACGCATTGGTGTCACATACATCCCCGACATCGCGGCATCAAAATGGCTCTCCGACACCAATATGACACTCATAAAACACTTCTTTAAGATCTAAAAAAACAGTTGCTTCAGATCAATATTCCCAAAATCAAGATCAAAGCTTTGATCTAAACCAACCCCTCTCAGAAACACTTCATCTTTTGTTAGAATACTATTTCAAAGCAAAAACAAAACAAAAACCTTGCAAATCCATCATGAAGCTAACAAAACCATGATCCATCCAAGGTTTACTATATAGTAAAAACAGTTCAACCCTACTGATTTCAAATACACACATCACAAAGAAAATCAATGAAAAATCACAGCATAACAAGTAACATATGATCACTGACAAAAACATCACCCCAACTATGCAGAATAAGTTCACTACAGAAACCTTGTAAAAAAATCATTTTTTTTCAATAGATCCACAAAGGGTCACAGAATCTGAGGAGAAAAACAAAACAAAACCCATCTAATGAACTATTAAAAAAATCATATTTTTTTCAAAAGATCAACATTGGATCACAATATTGAACAAGAAATATCATTAAAAAAAAATAGATAATACTCCATTGTTACCTATTATCAGTGTTTTGCAGAGTGATGTTATGATTGTTTACAAAGATCACAATCACAGAGTGAGTTGAAAAAAATGGAAACTGGTGTATATAAATTTTGTCAGTGGAAAATGGATAAAGAAGGAAAAAAGACAGGGCTAGGTTCGGGTTAACCGAAGCTGAGGTTCGGAATGAGGTCTGGTTTGCTTTTTTGAAGTGTGGACCCCAGCACGTGGGGGGAAAGTGATGAGAGTGGTCGATGGTGGAGAGAGAGTGGTTGATCGGACGGTTGAGAGTGGTACAAGTGGGGTAGATATTTTAGGTAAAGAAGGGTCAATGATGATTTGGATTGTAGATAAGGGCGGCTTGAGGAAAAATATCGTGTATGCGGTTGCATAGTTTCATAATGCGGACTCGCGCAGAAGTTGGCTTTTAAGTAGGGTTGTTCTTCGTATATTTAAGTGAAAAAGTCGAACAGAACTAATAGTTGTAAAATTTTACTTAAATTGAATTGAACTATTTCAATTTACTTTGAACGAAATCGAATCAAAATTATTGGTTTGATATACAGTTTTGAAATTTCGAATTGTACTAAATCGTTAAAAGTTTATTTTTTTCAAACTGAATCACTTATTTAAAAAATGAACCGTTAAAATATTTTTAAATAAAATTTAAAATTTACTTTTAGTATTTTTCTTTTTCATTTTTGATTCGATTTGGTTTCAATTTTAGTTCGATTTGATTTTAAATTCGTTTTGTTTTTAGAACTGTTTGTGCAATATGGTTTGGTTCACTAATCAATCATAACAGTTTCATTGTTTTAGCTTCAGTTTGGTTTGGTTCGACAGTTCAGTTCAATTAATAGGTTTTCTAAACAACCTTACTTTTAACCATTAGGTTGTGCAATGATTTAGATCCAAAGAAGTATAATCATAAGAACACCTGATTTTTATAGATCTAACGACTCCTAGTTGAACGGTGCAACGTGAAGTTGAGAAAAATACATAAGAAGGGGGGTTGAATTGTGTATGTCAAAAAATCGTTCAACTTCTGATAATGCAACTTCAAAATCTGAACCACGTTCAGAGTCTGATATCAAAAATAGTTCCAACAGCGGAAATAAAGTGATTAGAAGTAAAAGCAGGCAAAACACAAAGATTATTGTTGTAAATGTGCCTTAAAATCTTTGTTGATGAAGAGAAAGAAAACATATTTTAGAGATTGCATTTACCGCGAAAATCAGAAGTTTTAGAAAGTTGGACGAAAAATCGAGAAAAAAAATGCTCGGTGAATAGTGTCGTTCGTACAGTAAATAGTACTATCTGTACAGATGAATAGTGACGTCCGTGTGGTAAATAGTATTGTCTGTATGATGAATAGTGTTTTCGAGTTTTCGGGATTTTTCCGATTCGGTCCATGGATCCATGTGATTTTGGGCTTTGTTTGTTGGGTATTTGCTATTATAAATATGTATCTCTTATATGCTTGGTGTGTGACAATCTTAGAGTTTACATAAACAAGAGAGAGCAATGGTTTAAAGGTATAGCATAGGGTTTCAGCTATGCATAAAGAAAACCTTGGATTACACCTTGAGTTTGAGTGATTCATATATTGAGAGTTGGAGAGGTAGGGAAAGAGTTGGAGAGGTAGGGAAACACTTGGGTAGAAAATAGGGTTGTTCTTGGGCGCCTTCAGGGTTGTTCTTGGGAACCTGAAGGCGAATGCTACTTTCTTGTAACTCATATGTAATCTCTTGTAACAACTTTCTGAGTATAGTGAATTGGAGAGTTTCTCTCTCCCTCAGAGTAGATCGTTTGATCGAACTAGGTAAATAAACCTTCAGTTTTTTCTTGCCTTATTATGTTATATTATCTGTGTACAAATTATTATTGCTGAAGACCATTTATTTTGGTTGCTATTATTCTTTGCCTCACAAATTGATATTGAATTTTGTCGTAATTTACAACAAGATTCACAACAAGTGGTGCGGTGAGCGTAGAGCAAAGAGATATCGTTGACAAGTGAGCGCCATGGTTAGTAGATGGCAGATTGAGAAATTTTCCAGTAACAACGACTTCGGGTTATGGAAAATTAAGATGCAAGCAATTTTAATTTAAGAGAAGTGTATCGATGCTTTGAAGAGTGGAGCATTGATGCCTGCAGGGCTTACACAGGTATAGAAGACCGAGATGGTGAATAAGGCCAGAAGTGCCATTATCTTGTGCCTCGGGGATAAAGTTCTAAGAGAAGTCACCAAGGAGCAAATTGTGATTGCTATGTGGGAAAAACTTGAATCATTGTATATGACAAAGTCTTTGGCTCACAGGTTGTATCTGAAATGACAACTCTATTCATTCCGAATGGTGGAGAACAAATCCATAGTTGAGCAGCTCACAAAATTTCACAAGATTATCGATGATCTTGAGAATATTAAAGTGAAGATTGATGATGATGACAAGGCTTTGCTCCTATTGAGTTCATTACCCAAATCTTTTACGAATTTTAAGGATGCCCTTCTTTATGGTAAGGAATGTACTATTACTTTGAATAAAGTCCAGACGGCAGTGAAATTCAAAGAATTTTCAAAGTCGAAAGATTTGAAGATTGAAGATAGTGGTGAAGGCTTAAATGTGTCAAGAGGGGGAGGTGAGCGTAAATGGATGTCCAAATCAAAGAGGTCTGACAAGTCAAAGGTATAAAACAGAAAATCGATCACTTTAAAAGGGGTTATCCTGAAAGAAAGGTCAATGAAGATTCTGTTCAAGTTGTAGCTGCATTGGTTGAGGAAAGTTATGAGGATGCGAAAGCACTAGTACTATCGAGTTTAGAAACTAAAGATACTTAGGTCATTGACTCAGGTTGCTCTTATCACATGTGTCCAAGAATAGAATACTTTGAAACTTTGAAG